CCAAAGAGGAGGTATGCAAAATTTGTGCTATCTGGTTTTACCTTGCCTTTGAAGGATTCTAACTTAAGCTTCAGAGCCTTTACACCGGGTTCCCCTCGGAGCTTCATCGTCTTCTCCGTTTCAGGTTCTCTACTACTCAGTTCAGAGGCAAAGTCGTTGACAGCTAAGACCGACCGAATTGCGCTTCATCAACAATGAAAACAAATTCTTAGTTATTACCAGTGTTCCAATGATAAAGAAGAATTTTGTTTTAACTAACAAAAATGAACAAGAATAGGAAATTCAATCTGAGGCCTTGGGCTCCCAACAACTATTGAGCTGGGCTCATGTTCACATGTTTAGGCCCCTAAGTAGGCCTTAGTTTGGATCTTGGGCTGAAGGACAACACAAATAATGTATTGGCACTTAGAACGAGTGATTGAACATGATTTTAAGCCAAGCTTGATTCATGAACTTTCTCTTATTGTGAACATTGAGCAAGCTATTGAGGAGGTTATATACTCCTTAAATCGCTGAAGCTGAAAGCCTGAAGTTGGGCTCACGATTACACTGTCAATAGACCTATTCATGGGCCGGGTTTAAGTTTGGCTTTTGCAAAAATTTGAATGAAATCCGAACCCGATATAATGTAAATCAGGCAACAGGTTTATGTCAAACATTTTATTATTTAATTATTTTATCCACTGAAAATTAAACAAATTAAGCTATAAGTCATTCTCATTCAGTTCGGCCACTTCAGCCGTTATCCAGTTGCTCCTTGGCAAATCCCATTTTTGATAGATAATGGGTGGAATATGATGCCCGTTGGGCTATTATCACTTATCACCGACCCTGCTACACTACTGGATATCAACCCGGACTATCTAAGCTAGTTGAAGTCTATGAGACAGAAAATAGAAAATCAATTTAGGAATATTTTAATAAATATGCCAATCAGCATCTTTAATTTGTGCCAATCAAGGCAATCACCGAGGCCCATCTGATACAATTCCGGATCTCCTGCTCACGATAACTGTGTCATATTTACCCACAACACACTATTCCTATGAATTGGGAACATGTCCCTCAACATAATACTATGTAAAATGATGAGATGTTCTCCATGTGTGACTGTGATGTTATGTGAGTGGACGTGAACAGGAGATCCGGACTCATCTGACACWGTTCATCCGTCCCAACATCCCTTACAGCCATGGTCAAGACCATCATTGCCTAAATGGCCTTAATTTCTTGAGTTCGGCTTCTATCAGGACAAGTTGGTGCTTGCACCCTTCGAGCAGCCCATTGCAACCTTGCATTGGGAATATCTCCCATGTAACTACGGAGATATTCCTACTGCAAGGCTGTAAAGGCTGTTGGAATGGGCTTTACCCTGACTGAAGCCAGACTCTAATTTCTTGGTTTCATGACTTTCATCTACAATGTGTTAAAAGTGGAACTTACAGCTAGAATGATCCTTCAGTGAAAGAACGTTTTATCAAGTATGGGAGATGTTCTCAATGCCCAGCTGAAAGCGTTGTGAGGTATGCTCTACGTGGATTCCTTGAATAAGATTTAAAGTATCGACATGCTCAATACTCAAAACCTCAATATTGTCACTTTTAGCAGCCTATTCTAACAAGGAGTTCTGCCCTACAATCTTGCAATATCATACTTTGAACATATTTCTTATTTGGACTACATGTGTGATCTGCTATTCACATTATCCACACGACATTACAAACATAGGATTCTTGGGTAACAGATCCAATTCTGAATTGATAAAATTGGGATCACCTACCAACAAAGCATGTACCTTCCAACTCCCTACCAACATCGCGCCTCAGTTTGATAGTAAGATGATTGCGGTGTCAGATCATGTTGTGGGGGTTGGAATGTGTTTTATTGGCAGGTGATGCGGAAGGACGGACTCAAATTGATAGGGTACGATATATTGAGTTGAGATATTTGGAAACTTGCTTTTGAGCATGTCGACCACCAACCGATTCCGACGACTTCCGGGAGTCTTAAAGTCAACATTATTTGTTTTTGGCATGTCCTTTAACAGACGCCAAGCTTAGGCCAGATCACCGCCCGGCAAGAAGTAGAGATGTGGGGACTCTTCCAGCGCACACAAGTAGAAATTGGCCAATATGGACGCACAACGTTTTGTTTTATCATATTGACTTGAGATATTTCTCACAAGTCGGCCCATCATTTTGGCTGCATGCATTCTTTAAATTTTTACAGGTAGACTTTATATGCTTTTGTCGTTCTACCATCCAGCTTATGCACATGGCATAGATACAAGCGGTGTTTGGTATGATTTGATAAACAGTATCATGTCATCGCCAAATAAATATTTATCCCATCACGTTGATTCGTATACAAAATATTGATAAAAATTGGTTTTGATTTATGTGTGCATCAATCGTTAGGAGAAGTTTCATTTAACGATTATTCCAATGATTAACTGATCCATTTATGCGATGCCTAATAACGCTTAGCTGTTAATAAACAGTTTACTAAGTAATTTTTCTCTGTTTTGAAGACAAATCAAATACAACCGAAGCTATCATTGCAAGTTAATAGATCAGAAAAAAAAATGTCTGAAGAAAAAACCATTTTCATACAGAAAACCATCTCCCTACGACACTATTCATCGCATTTGTTTTACCTTCAACCAAGCTTCATCCAGTTTTTATCGTTTACTTTGGGCTCCATTTGGTTGCTTGTAGAATGGAGGAAAAATTCGTTTTCCTGAAAATTGCAATTACATTCCACACTAGTCAGTTGCTTGTGGAAAAGTGAGTTTAAATTGTAGAAAGATGAATTGAAACACCTACTTTTCCATTAAGTCATTTTTTCAAACAGAAGTTGGTATTCCCAAGAAGTAGATGACTCAGTGCTTTGAATTTGAATCTAAAAGACTAAAACAAACAGATCATGCCATCATTTATTATTGGGAGGTTTCCCATTTCATATCCTGTAATTCTACTGCAACAATGGTTCTATGACTTTGATGAGAAATCAAACTGGGTGCTGCTAATAATACAAGGGGACACTCGGTTACAATTATGTTTTCCTTTTTCTCCTTTATTTTGCCAGAGCTTCACATAGACACTAAATGAAATCACACTGGTGTCAACTGTCTATGGCACTAGTATATATATATTACTGGAACTGGATAATCTCAGATCATGGATCTATTGCTGGCCTTACAGCAAAAAACATTCAAGTATACCAGAAGAAGCTAACAATACATTAAGCGAGTGACGGGAACGTCACCTCCGGGCTCAAACTCGCCGCGGGTTGCGAATGCTCAGCAACTTTACATCATCGACGACAGGCCCGCAGAGGGAGGCCATGTCGTCGCTCCTCATGGTGTAGAATGTGCTCAGGAACATTATCCGTGTGCGCGTGGAAACGGCCGTGAACCGGAGCACGGCACGCTTGAAGCCTCCCGTTCCCTTCGACTCATATGGGACCTTCACGGTGTTCCGGTCGGCAAACGCCTCGACGACCATGGAGCCTTCGCATTTGTTGTTGGCATCTCCCACTGCGAACGTGAGCGTGTAGACCTTGCCCGGAATGGTCCGAGCTATCTGCGCGATGGCGCTCTCCTTCCCTGCAACGAGCTCCACCGCCCGTCTTCCCTGCGGCACCGAGAAATGCTCGGCGTCGATGTATTTCACGGCTTTCAGGGATTCGATCATCCAGCCGGGCAACGGAGAGTGGTCGTCTTCGATGTTGGGTGGGACGAGGACTCCCCACGATGTGTTGGGGAAAATGTAAGGGCCTTCTTCGAAATCTCCATTCTTCAGAAGGTTCTCTGCGTAATTAACAAAGGAAGCCCTCATTAGTCATTAGAAGGCCCATTCCCCATTTAGAATAAGCCCATGGGCCTAAGAAGATATATATCATAGAAAATAAAAGGTAGAACATACTGTTAGTGGGCCTAGGAGGATATAGGGCCTTGAGAGCCACGGAATCAATAAGAGGCCCACAAGCGGGATCCTCCTCTACACCTGGGTTGTGGATGACTATCTCCACTTCTGGGTAATCAGCCTGGAAGGCCCACGCGTAGGAGTCCCAACCGTTGCTACTGTACGTGGTCTGGATGGGGAGGATGCCGGAGTCCGGCGCCACCGACACGTTCAGCCGCTCCTCTTGTGCGCAGGTCCGAGCAGCGCTGAAGGTTATGGAGTAGTACATTCCCTTTATCACCTTCACCTTCTGTTTGATTGAAGCTTCATTCCCTAGCCTAACCGCAAACTCTCCCGCCGGTACCACTAGTAGCATATCACCCTGCTTCTGTCCCGCCTTGATGTACTCGACGAAGCCGGAAAGTTCCCATTCCGGTATCGCGTGGCGGTTGATCACCACCGTCCCTTTCATATCTGATGGCTTGGGCCCGTATTCGAAATCGCCATTGGGCAGCAAACCTGCATCATCATTCATCAGGACGCATTCAGCAAAACAATTGTTCATTAAGTGCCCTTGTTATTCTCTCTAATCACAAGTTGTCACACGAGTGGGGACTGAGGGGAATGACAGATATGACTATGGTGGCAGCGGCCAGATCATGAGACCAAATGCTAATATTGCGGTGTCACCACATGGGCATCATTGTCAATCCGTCAATTCAGGGCCAGGTGGTGCATTCATTAATGAGGAAATCTGGGAGCGTTCGTGAAAAGACAAATCCAGCTCGGAGTATTAGGTAGTCACATGGTTGCTCTACGGGGAGGACCACGTACAATTATTCCCTTAAGGTGTCAGTCTGCAAATCAGATGGACCGTAGCGCGGAGATATTCAATATCGTCATCATAACCGTCTGATGCAGTTCGAACGATTGTGATTAGTGGGTCAGAATCTTCTTCTAAACAAGTCTGGACGGTTGTAATTTCTTGAGAAGGACGCCCGACGCCGGGGAGTCGGAAGCGAATAGGACTTTGGCTGTAAAATGTTGCCCAGCCACCGAACACATGTATGAATGACGAATAAAAGAGACAGAAACATTATTTGACGATGAAATGACGTATCTACCCGTGTTACGCTCGAATCTTAGCTTGCAGATGGATATGACTACATGGCTAGATCAGTCATACAGGTCTGCCGCCCACCAATCCAGAACATCTACCTAAATGACCAAAGCCGCCTCCGTCAAAGTGATAATGTTGGAAAAGCTGGTGAAACCATGTATGGGTATTTCAGTCATTTAAGTTGGACCAACAATCCGTCTCAATCTTTCGGACAGAATTCAAATTCTTTTGAATAAAATGGAAACGAAGAAAACCAAGGTCGACAGTTAGACGAGAAGTAGACTCTCTGCGAAACCGCTGGATTGGAATCTGTTTACATGGACTGAGGAGTACACATTCCTGACGGACAGTGCAGCATATTGCAATCCTGACTGTAAAGCCAGCCTGTCCAATACTATCAATCCGGTGGTTTCTGAGCGGGTTCTACAGGCTACAGCTTCGAATCGTCGTTTCAGAGTCACCGGAGAACTCGCGAAAAGAAGCTTGAATTGTGAGAGGAAGTTAAATCTAGACAAACGGCTGGTTGGAAAAACAAGGGAGTCGAACAAAAACCGAACGGTCGAGGATGGGTTTTCGGAGACTACTACACAAGGAAATTCCCAGGCAAAGATTGAGAAAACCAAAAAACGAACGGAAAACTACGACAAATGCCTATGCAGTGAAAACTCGTAGGGTGCCGGAGAAGTGTCAAAAGCTTACCGTCGATGAGGGCTACGGCGAGGTGGCAGTAGGAGGCGCAAAGTAGCACCGACAGTACAGAGAGTGCGAACTTAGACATCGTTGCTTGAGAGGGTGGAGAGACTGAGATGCTTCGAAGCGGAGAGGGGGGTGTGCATTGGCTTTTATACATGGCTCCCACCGAAACAGCCCTCAGAGTTGCACTAAATCACGTAAATACCCCTTGTTTTCTACACCTAACATATCGAAAATACGTGTTAACTACAATCTAATAAATTTTTTTGATTTATTTAAAATGGAAATTCACGTGGGGATTTTTCATTTTTGTATAATAACGAATTTACCCTATATTTTATTATGTGGAATTTATCGATTTATGAATTGAAAGCCGAAAATGGATAAGTTCTGGTGGAGGCTAACGACAAAAGCTGCTCGGATCACATGGTTTGGGGGGTTTCAAAGCGAAGGCCGCGACAACACAATGCATGCCTTTACTTCGCTGTCGCTTCGAGGTCAGTTATGTCATTTGACACCAACTTGGCAAAGCAAATGTTTAATTTAATTAGTGAATTGTTTAATTAAGGATGGGCAATGGTTCCCCACTTTGGGAAAACAAATACGTGCATTTGAAAATGACCAAAATGGACGTACTTTAACTTTTGGTGAGTCAGTAGTGCACGTGGTTTTTCATAAATGAATGTTGGTTTGGTAGGTATTTAGCATCGGTATTGGGAACATTGCATTGTTTTCTCAGAAAAACGGTACTGGGTATGTAGAGTTGTAAGTTCTATTTTTTATTTCGAATTGGTGCTGTCATACAAGCATTTTTTTAAGAGAATAGACATTGATCTTATTATCCAACATTTAAGATGATGTAACATTGATGCCATGTCATTGCATTGTTGGCAGCAATGCATCATTTTCCCAAAAAACATCAATTTAGGCATCGCTCCAGATCACACTTTTCCCAATTTCTAATGCATGGTTTGGAGTAACGATTATTTCAAAGAAAATAGTACCAAACAAGAGGGCATTGCTCCTAACACTGTTTTCTCTAATGTGGTGTCTACATGACACCGTTTTCTCAGAAAATGGCACCATTGCCAAATACTACCTTGATTTGCTCAAGAATGAGATGAAGACCCAAGAATCTTGAAAAAAGACTGTGTTACCCTTGCTTTATTTGATTTTGATAGTTAGACCAAGCACTTTGGAAGCTAGGGTAACCCTTGGACTTTAATGAGAACCAGGCTCCAACTCAAGATTTAGGTCTGATAATCGGGTCGAACTCAGGACTGAATGTATTTTGAAACAAAGCCTGGCCTAACCCATGAGTAGATCCACTATATGCAAGGTTCGAATTACCATTATGGGCAATGCATGAAAACTATATATACTTTGATTCTCAACATTGATACACTCTACAAGTGGCAGTGCATTTTAAACAAGCTTTGAAATCTTTATTCACCCTAAGAAATATATACTAAGCTTTGAACATCTCCACTCTCCCAAATTCGTAGTACATATATGGTGGATCACCCAGACTATAAACTGATATATATTGGGTTGGTTACTATGTAAAGCTGATGATCTCTACGAGACTTCAATCCGTGCAATGGTGGTGCCTCTTAGTTTCTTTTCGGTTCAAAACAGGTAGACACAACGTTGTAAGCATGGTCAATGAGTACCTAGAAATTTTTTTGACATTTATCTGTTAAAATACTGTCAGTCTACCATTGAAAAAGATTAATACCCACTTTTGACTGTTGTCAAAATATTTATCAAGTACTCATTTAACGTGCTTACTTTGTTGTACCTACTAGATCCAGTCCCCTAGCCTTCTTTGTTCACCATCAAGATTACATACAACACACATGCCTCTCTACTTCTAACTAGAGATAAATGACAATATTCACTATAATGGGGAAAGGCTTGTCAGGCCTGCGATGCAATTTGGCTTTCATCACCCTCACCACTGATCACAAACAGCTGAGGCATTATTTGGCAGGAAACAAAAGGAATGTAATGGCCAAAGCCATTACTGCACAAGCTTCAGAATTGCAGTTTCAATAGTTCCCTTCTCTATTATTATTTTTTTTATATACAATACATTCATTTATTGAGGGGTGTTTGTCGATATGTGATTTTATATTTTAAAATTAAATGCTTAGTAGTCTTATCTCTCTTTTGTTTTTTTGGAAGATGTCTTATCTCTTTGTCTTTTTTTAATCTTTTTTGGTATCTTAGTTGGAGGTCTGTCAACAAGAAAACCGGAGTCAAATCCAAATTTAGACTCTGTTTGGATATAAGTTTTTGCTTTTGAGCTTTTGCTTGTAAAAACAAGATTGAACTGAAATGTGTTTGAGTAGAGTTACACATTATACTTTGAAGTCAAAACACTTTTAAGCACCAAAAATACAAAGCCTGAAATTGGGGCTTAGAAAACAATCATTTTAAAAGTTACCAAACCCCGTTTCTTAGGATTATAATCAGTGGCGGAGTCAGAAAATTATTTTTTGGAGGGTTAAGTTGAACAAAAAAATGAGATAAGGAGCAGAAGAAATAAGGTATAGGGGAAAATGGATTGAGAAGGTTTGAATCTATTACATATTTTTTAAAGAAAAAATAAACAATTTCATTTTTTTTTTAATTTTAAGGTTGGAGGAGAGTTAGAGTATGATTTACCCACATGTAATTAATAGGACACTTGTCATAGATTAATTCATGTAGCCAATCCCATGTAATTGAGATAAGACTTAGATAATGATGACRATGATGACAATGACGATGAGTGTAGAAAAAGATCTAAACTCAATGTAATAGTGAGAGAAAAGAAGTCAGTATAGGAATACAGCTTGGAGTACAGCTTGGTAAGAATGAATTGGGACAATGTGGATGGACATCGTTTCTGTATTAATTACTTGCAATCTTAGAAGGTTGGTGATCAAAAGTTTATATCAATGGCCTTATAATTCAACTTTCTCCATTCATGGCAAAAGAAAAGTTTGCTTTTATGTATCATTTCATCAAAGCAAGTTAAAAGGGACATAAAACAACGTTTTTACCATATAGTAGTTGGACTAGTTCAGTATGAAAAGCAATTTTATCCATTTGCCTTACAAACAAATGGAGCACAAGGAAAATAGGATAGTTTAGAGGGATGGCCTTATTGTAAAGGTAAGGTCAATTTGGTAAATCTATTATAGCCGGAAAATAAGGATCTCTCTCCTGAATATATAGTATATATAAAATACAAAAAGTGAAAACTCGATTTGTTGGCTTCTTGTAGGGAGGAGACTGAACCTAAGTATATCGCTTAATTTGTAAGCTTGTGTTCGGAGTGCCGGAGAACAGCTCCGGAATTACGGAATTAGCCTCGAGTCCCTGACCTGCTGACCCCATGATGTGTGGGGCTCTGCTTTTGCTAAAAGCCAAAGAGCAACATGACTCCGGGGGCCGGGTTCTGAGAAGAGGGTCGGATTGGGACCCACGATTAGACTGAGAATCGGGACCTAATCCTCCTCCTACTAGGTCAGTCAGTGACATTTTGTGGGCTTCTCTCAGGGAAGGTGTGGGCCTCTGGGCTCAAGGACTAAATAAGGAGTGGGACCTCCGTAATGTCAGCCTCATCTCTCTCTCTGAGCAGTTGCATGTGGATGGCCGAACTCAAGCCAGAAATCAAGGACCTTTCTATTCTTTGGAGCTTTCCTTGTCTCAGAACACATCTCATTGAACTTAACGATTTAGTCAGAACACATCTCATTGAACTTAACGATTTAGTCCAAACACAAAAAACTTAGATTAATTAAAAGACATTGCATCAAAATAAATATAACATAATATTTATTATATCTTAAGAATCATCATCATCGCCATCATCACCATCTAAGAATCATCATCATGATCATTTAAGTATTATTTGAATCATATAGGGTTGGTTATATGAATCCTATTTCATCATTTCATTTTCTTCAACATCATTCCTATCATTCCTATTAGCCTAGGAATGATCACCCCTAATTATAATATAAATCTGACTAAGTCAAATATTTTAAAAATCGTACAATAAAAAATCATTTTAGCTGATAGTTCCAGTAGATAAAGGCAACTTTTTGCCTTTAATATTAAAAAGAGATAATAATTTTATATAATAACTAAAATAGGATAAATTTAAAAAAAATATATATCAAGAAAGGGCATTGCTCGTTTTCCTCCTCTCGCTCTGTATTCGTGAGATGTTAAAGTTGTTGACGATAACTATGCCCATGGACGAAACAATGGAAAACAGAAACCCAGAAGCAAAGCTCTACGGCCATGGCGGATGAGAAAACAGAAACCCGAAACAACGCCAAGCTGGCCATACTGGAGCTCGCTAACATCATTAGTGTCCCTCAACGCCATCGTCTGCCTCAAGGTTGCCGACGCCATTCGGCAAGGTAGCTCCAATGTCCCTCTCTCCGCCTCCGAGATCTTAGCACGTGTCCTCCCAACCGGCGATCCCGAAAAGATCCAGCGCATCCTTCGAATGCTCACCAGCTACGATGTCTTCTCGGAGTAYATTGCCGACGGCTCCTCAGAGCTAATGCAGAAGGCCATGTCGAGGGTATCCATGCCGTTCGTGCCGTTCATGAAGGCAATATTAGAGGAAGGGGTGGAGCACCGAAATGTTAGAAACATTTACATGAACAGAGAGCAGAAGAAGAAAACGAACAACATTATTCTTTTTTTATTTTATTTCAACAAATTTGTCCTATTTTAATTATTATATAAAAATATTACTTTTTATTGATATTAAAGGCAAAAAATTGCCTTTATCAGCTAGAAACCCTAATTCCAAACACCGACGGTGCGACATCCGGTCCGGTCTGATTTTGACAACCTTGGTTTCACTTGAAGGAGTACTTACCACAGAACTAATGAAGCTAAGGTCGACGGATATTACTTTTAGAGAATATTCACTGAGGTGGTGTTTGTTTGCTCTTAATGGGGACTTCTAACTATGTAAAACCAACTTTTCCGAGAGTTGACGATGACGGCATGTAAATTGGTGATTGTTGAACTTACTTTTTTGTTTTTTGATGTTATACAGTTTTGTCCCTTTACTTTTAGAGGGGTGAGGGGTAAAATTCTGAAAGAGACTATTTTCACAT